AGAGCCTAATTTAATTACTGGCAAAAATTGGAAAGCTTTGGGCACCAGAGAGGACCCCAGCCGCAAGAGGCAAGTGGCCACTGAGACTATTTTGCTCCCATGTCTCTGCTGCTGGCAGATCTCTCCTGGAGTCCCTGGCCTAAATTCTGATAAGGAAATGCTTTATTCTCTTTATCTTTCTCTGATTTTCTGAGCCCTCTTCTGTTCCGGTTGGATTGTATCCACTTCGGTTTAAGTGCACCCTGGAGGGCTCCTGGCGAGGCTTTGTTTTTCTGGTTTAAATCTGGTTGGTATTTTTCTTCTTTATGCTGAAAACAGTGGTGAGAACTGCTTTTATCAATTACTGTTAATGGAGTAAATTGGCCCCACTGATTGGGACTAAGCTGAACCGGATGACCCCACTGCTCCTCTTTTCTCTTTGTTTGCTTGGTTAGACATTTAGTTGAGTACCAGCAATCTGAATAAGCCCTCCAATCCTGTTGGCATGCACCCCACAGATGCCCCCTATTCCATGCCGTTGATTGGTGCCATAGGTGTGGAGTATGACAAGTTACAACTTAGACCAACTACTTTGGCTGAGACGTCTCTTTGGGATGCACGTGTGTGCACATGCGTGAGTGTTTTGTCTGTATATATATGGCAACTATTTCTGCCTGCTTTTCAAGCTACTGCTTAGGGGTCGCAAGATCCAAATTGTGCTTTTGGCCTTAAGATCACTGGGAAAAGGCAATGCCAAGGTGCAACAAATCAAGTGCCCAGCTAAATTACAGCAAAATATTTGGGGAGATTTGCTCCATTTGATCTGGCTAGAGAAAACGTTCTCTGCATTTCTTTGAAAAGGCTTGCATCCTTGCCTTGCAATGTAAATTTGTCTCCTTGAAAAGTCCCGCGTACTTTGCTTTGCAATGTAAATTTGTTACCTTGCTTTCTCTAAAAAAGATAAGCTTTGGCATTTTTCAGAAATGCAATTTAAAATCAACTGTCCTTTTTGAACTAGTAAGTTTTCTATTTTATCTGTCTCATTAACATCGTAAACAAAACCTATATTAATTAATAAAGGTGTAGCTTGATATAAAAATTAGACAAAGGTAAATGGGTTAAATGTTTATAAATAAAATC